CAAAGAGACAGGACTTGTTTAAGCTTTCAGCGTCTAAATTATTAAGATCCAGTTTCGGTCTTGGATAGAGGAAAAAGCGACTATTTAGCAAGAAGTAGTTTCGTTCAAAAGGAGAATTAAAAAATAGGAAGAATAAAAGTTGATAATGGGATTTTTCTCAAGTTGCAGGAATTATTAAACGGGCTCTGAAGTTGTAACTAAGTCATTAAAAGAATATTAAAATTATATAAGAGTTACTTGCCTTGAACTGCTAATAGAGAAATTAATTCCACGCTGTGTTCGACATGATGTGGATCAACCTGCTCTCACTACCGGTTTCGGGGCCCTACTTCATCATCAGGTGAGCTTGGGTCGTTTCCACAAAATGTCGAGCACAGCGCAGAGTATATATACTCTGTGGAAATGGTATATATACTCTGTGCTCGATATATACTATCTGGTATATAATACTCTGTGCTCGTCTGTTTACAATATTTGACTGAAGTTCACTACCTTCATGAGCAACGAAATCCTAAAAAGAAAAACCTGGCTCTAAGGAAAACTCCAAAAGAAAGATTGTTCTTTATAGCCATTAATAACTTCAACTAGTAAGCCGAAAAAATACGGCAGGACTATGTGTAGTCCTTGAAAAATAACTCCGTTGGGCAATAAAACTTTTGGAACTTTTCACCCCCGATTCAATACGTCCGAAGAAAGGCTAAATGGCGCAGTTCGTCTCGGGGGAGGTTCGACTTCATCAAAGAAACGATTTATTTCATTTTTGTTTGGTATTAATTCGATTCTTTTCCCACCATTTTCGTTTTGGAGATAACAGAACCGATAGGGATTGTCTGGAAGAAAGTGTGTAGGTGAAAAAGAAAAAAAATAAATAGTAATACAGGTGAAAAAGAAGATAAACTCCAATACAACTTGAGAATTATCAAAAAATATGACGAAAACAACAACAAGAAAAATGTGCTATGAAAATTAAAGCTTATCAAATGTGGAACAAATTAACTAATATACTGTACATATTTAATTATTCTTTTAATGACTTAGTCTTATTAGCAAATAATAAAATGGTTTATAATTACAACTTCAGAGCCCGTTCAATAATTCCTGCGACTTGAGAAAAATCCCATTATCAACTTTTATTCTTCCTATTTTTTAATTCTCCTTTTGAACGAAACTACTTCTTTCTAAATAGTCGCTTTTTCCTCTATCCAAGACCGAACCTGGATCTTAATAATTTAGACCCTGAAAGCTTAAACAAGTCCGGTCTCTTTGCCAGCACACTCAAGCTTAAGTACGCCCGAGGTAAACTTGTAAATTTTTCACTCGGTTAAATAGTTGAAATTCTGCTTAGATCAAGGGAAATAAAGGATACTTAACACTGTTACGTGCCTTGAATTACTTGGCCTGACTGCAATAATTGTTCATGTCTTTCTTCATATGATGTAAAAAAATATATTATATACAGGGTGGCGCCTCTCATACACCGCAGAGGCTCCAAGGAGAACGACAGTTTGTATTGAAATGAAAATTTGTGAACATATATAGGTTAATTCAAAGCACTTTTTAAAAATATAGAGAGTTCTACAGAGTGTCCCCAATAAAGTTACATATCAAAGTTGAGTTTTTTGTAATGGAACACCCTATATATTAATTGATTTTCGGATTCTGGGAGAAAAATGTAGGTGAGTTTTATAAGAAAGGTATATGATTAAAATTTTGACATATTCAACATTTTCTAGAAATTAAGAACAATTTTTAAATTACAATAAAAGCTACCTAAATTGGAATTTATCCGGCATAGTCAAACCAAAAAGTTATGCAGGGTGAGACAAAATTAATATTGAACATTGGTCATCTTTAAAAGCATGTTTATTTTAAATGAAAAGCCCAGTATATTATTGCGATATTCAAAGGAGAATTCACAGGGGGCGGATACAGGAATTTATTTTAGGGGGCCCAAAATGAAAAGCAATGTAGAATATGCTCTTTAGGGCGCTATTTTTAACGCAAAAGCCTAATATTTTACAATACCAGATTTTAGGGGGGCCCCATGGGCCTCCCCCCTGTATCCGCCACTGAGAATTCATGTCTCTTCAAAATATTATTAAGGTTGCCTACCCCTCAAACAAAAGATTTACCTGGATATTTTCATTTACATGATTTGATCTGTGTAGATATTTATTATTTCATAAAATCTAGGTGGTTGTGATATGTCTACGTTACTTCAACATAGCTGTCAACAACAAAACAAAAAAATTCTCAGAAATTTGCCGAAAATGCAAACTTATCCTACATCAGAGAGAATTGATATGATTCTATTAGTTGGTGAATGCAGTGTGCATTAACATAATTTCGACAACTTGAGAGAAATTATTAATTGTAGCTGTGCTTTTCGAGGTAGAACTCGCCACATATGCCTTTTAAAATGAAAAGATCTTTTTGAAAGACAATCATTTTATGCAGTTAATAGGAGAGGAAGCATTTTGAGCATTTGATTTCGAGAGCGCGGAAGAGAGATAACATCACGTATCGGCACAAATTACCTATAACAGATGCGAAAGAAAGCGACTGCATCGGAAACCGCTCGGCAAACCCGACACGCCTATTGAGTGGTGTAAATACACCAGTCGTTTAGTCCGGAAACCTATGCTGTGTCGTATTCGCTTGCTGGAATGACATAGTGCGTGGTTATATGTTTCTTTTTAAAAACGCGTGTAGGATTTTTGTTGAACTTTTGAACTGTTATTTCTAAGTTTTGGTAATTTGTATATCTTATTTAAAATATGATGCAAATGTGTTTATTTATAAGGAAAAAAAAAGATATTTATAGTATAAAAATTAATTTATTTAACAAAATTTAATTAAAAATGTGACAAAATAGTTACCTTTCTATTGGTTTTATAGAACTTTTTTTTCGACTATATTTCTTTATTTGTAAATTTAATACATCAAATATTTTCAATCTAATAAATCATTTAATGATGTAAATAAGAGGAAATTTCTCACATGGGTGGTCAAATTTTATAGTTTTCATTATATCAAACAGCCTCTGAGAAATGTTTTCAAGTCAAAATGCCTTTAATTATGTTTGACTACATCGTTAAAAAGGGTCTTCAAATACATCAATGTGATATTTGTCTCAAATTTGCAAAAGAATCCGAATCTCTGGATAACTCGAAATTATTTACCCATTTAAAAGCCTTTGATCATGAAAGTGGAAAAATTTGTTCATTTTATTTACAGGCCGGAAAAATTATTTATATTAAATTTTGATGAGTTTTGCACTGAAGAAAACATTCAGAGGCTGTTTGATATAATGAAAACTATAGAATTTTACCACCCATGTGAGAAATTTCCTCTTATTTACATCATTAAATTATTTATTAGATTGAAAATATTTTATGCATTAAATTTTACAAAAATAAAGATTTATATAGTCGAAAAAAGTCCGATAGAACCAATAGAAATGTAACTATTTTGTCACATCTTTAATTAAATTTTGTTAAATAAATTAATTTTTATACTATAAATATCTTTTTTTTTCCTAATCTCCTACGAGCTGATATAATATGACGAGCAATCTATTAAATTACTGTGAGATTATACAGAAAAGTCCACAGACTTCGAGACATAGGAAAATCAAGTCCATTTAGCGTGTGTCCAAATATTGACAAGTTTTCAAGTGACTGATACAATTTTTGAATTTGAATTGTTTTTAATGATACTAACAATTTTAGTTCAATTTTTAATAAAATTTATTTAATATTAATAGAAATCCAGGAGATTTGAAACCTCTTTTAGCGATTTATAACATTCTCAAATGAATTACAGGTGCCCTTATTTTCTATGAAAATCACACAGCTTTTTTCATAGTCGCTGCAGTTGCTATAGCTATAAAAACTAATTTTTAAGTTGTGAAAATTGCGACACACGCTAAATGTACTGGATTTTTCGTATGTCTCGAAGTCTGTGGACCTTTTTGTATGCCTCGATAACATATTGGTGCAGATTATTTTCACCCAAACAAATAATAACCCAAACTATACATTGATGCGGATTGTCTATGAACTCTTTCTGAAGGTCACAGAAACCTGAACGCGTAATTCGGTGTTCTTTCGCATCTGTTATTTGTAAAGTCGATTTTTATGTCTATCTATATATTATCTAATTAAATTGAATATCTTATAGAACTTTTGCGGTGCTGTTCAAAACTCTAATCAGAACTGTTTTTTAAGATAGTATTTCCTTAGTTCAGTCGATTTTTATGTCTATTTATATTGTCGGGCATTAATGAAATTTTTAATTATTGGTATTTTAAAAAAATCAAATAGCATATCTTATAGAACTTTTGCGGTGCTGTTCAGAACTCTAATCAGAACTGTTTTTCAACACTGTATTTTGCGCGTAAAGTCGATTTTTATGTCTATCTATAGTTTCGGGCATCAATGAAATTTTTAAATATTGATATTAAAAAATCAAATAGTACATCTTATAGAACTTTTGAGGTGCTATTCAGAACTCTAATCAGAACTGTTTCTTAAAATTGTATTTCCTTCGTTCAGTCGATTTTTATGTCTATTTATATTGTCGGGCATTAATGAAATTTTTAATTATTGGTATTTAAAAAAAAATCAAATAGCATATCTTATAGAACTTTTGCGGTGCTGTTCAGAACTCTAATCAGAACTGTTTTTCAACACTGTATTTTGCGCGTAAAGTCGATTTTTATGTCTATCTATAGTTTCGGGCATCAATGAAATTTTTAAATATTGATATTATTAAGAAAACAGATTACTTATAGTTAATTTGTGGTATCGGGCTTTTCAGTCACAGAAAAGCTCATGAAAGAACACGCCTTGCGTAACCATCTTCTGATGCGTGTCAAATACTCGTCAGCGAGTAATGGCAGTAGTAGTAGTAGTAAATAAATATGAATTTTGAATTAATTTAATTTTTCGATTTTTGATTTTTTAAATAATATATTATTATTTTCGATATTTTCTTACCATATGTGGGTGGTATTAAATCTGGATTGTTATCGTCCTCTGTCAATGCGTCTGTCATAATGGGCTGAACCAAGGGATTTAAAGGGGTTTCTTCCTGCTTGGGACTGCAAATTTGGGGGTGGTTTCTAACAGGGGTTTCAACCTGAAACAATACACGGTATTGATATATTGTAATATTAACCATTGTACAAAGTTTGTTCTCGTTGTCATCAATAATAATAAACTGTTCTAACAAAGCTTTGAATAAAAACATTAAAGGAGTATAATGCTATCTATGTACTCATCCATTAGAGGCGAATTCAAAAAATCATGAATCTCCATTTTTGACAGTTTGTTTGACGTTTCAATTGACACTTTTGAATTTGATTTGAAATTTTGCGGATCTTTTGTGCTTTTCTGAGGTTGTTTTTATTTATTTATTATTGATATGCTCCTTTCTTAATCTTTTTATTTATTTTTTTTATTCAAAGGTGCTAACAAGGTGTTCTTATAACTTCATTACCCAAATTAATTTTTAACAATTTATTAATTTTTGAGAGATGAGATATTCTGATGAGAAAAAATGAGATATACTGATGATTATTCATTAATTTTTGAGAAAAGATATAGAGTACTGAGCATTTAAAGATATATTTTCTGTGTTGGTTTTTTATTATTATTTTATACAGGGTGAATCTTAAATAAGTGCAAATATTTTTAGGGATAGCATATTTCGACCCCAGAAACACGACTATGAGCAAAATAAAACACTAAATTACTAGACTACATCAAAACACTTTTACTGTTGCAGATGACTAAAACTTGCTTTAATCATCTGCTGATGATGCTAACAAGGTTAAACGGTTAACGGTTAGCGGTTAGTTAAAAGGTTAAACGCGCGTCCAGTGTAAAAGTAAATGTGTTCTAGCGTAGTGTGGTGATTGAGTGTTTTATTTTGCTGTTGTAACATCAAAAGTTCCAACCCCAACTGTAATCAACGATTATGAGGTTTTCGTGATTTTTTTGAAAATTTTTGAATTTTGAAAAAATTTTGGAATTTGTTTTTAGTTTTTTACTTAAATAACATAATTTCTTGATAATATGGCAACATAGGTAGTAGATTAAATTTATAAGAAGAAATCTCAGAAAATATTAATGGTTCTCATTTTTTTAAATTTTCAAGTAAAACAGCAAACAGCTCGGTTATTTTGGACTTATTTGAAAAACGATAAAGACAAAATATGCATCTTTTATCGAGATCTACCACCTCTTGAAATGTTTGCACTTATTTAAGACTCACCCTGTATATCTAAATAATTTTGAAAACAAAACTAAATTATTATATCAATTTGATATAATATTGATGCGTTCTACAAAAGTTAATGAATAATTATGCATGGTTTTAAACAAGCAGTATTTATAATATAGGAAATTCAAATAATTCGTTTTCCGACAGATTGAAATAAATTGTCTGATTGTTTGACACTTTTTAATGTCAAAAGGAAGCTAGATAAAAAAATTAGAAAAATATACGTTTTAAAAACTAAATCTTAAATAACTTAAAACGATTTATTTTAGATATAAACAATACATGTAG